TAGTTTTCCTCAAAGGATGATGCTAGTACTCCAGGTGAGGTCTGGACTCATTTGTTCATTTATTCATTCACTGAGCAGACATACATTCAATTGGTATTGAATTCTGTCTGATCAGTGCCCAGGAGGGAGGGGACACTTAGCTCCATTTCTCTAGACACCATATGCTTTTGGTGGGTGCCCAAGATCACATGGCTTCTGGTTTCTAGGGGTTTATGGTCAGCTAGCTCTCTGGAGCCTTTTTCCATGGACTCCTGGTGTGGCATGTGCCTCGTCCTCCACCGAGTTGCTTCTCTGTGTGTGAACTTGGCTCTCTTCTATGTGCAAACCCACCCTGCTACTCTGGGGTGTGTGCCTGCATAGGATTTTATAAAACCTATTTGGATCATACCAAGAATACCTTTCCTCAGATCCTGGTTGAACTTTTGTTCCTTCTTGATGCCAAAGTTGACATGCCTCCAGGGTATCTGTAATAAAACCTAAGCTCTAGGATGTGGAGCCATCACTGTGCTCAGGGGTCAATAAGGCACCAACAAGAGGGGTCGTGAGCTCCCACATGTACTAAGATGCGTCTATAGCCCGTGGAAAACTACCCATCCAGTCCTTCCCACTCACTTTGGACTCTCAGTCCTTCCTCCCCCCCCCTTTATTCTTCCCATGCAGCTGGACTGGCTCAGAGGAAAGAAAACAACAACCCCATGCCCAGGTACACTGCTGATTTCAGGACCTAAGAGATATTTCTAGAGCCAGGATTCTGGAGACGGGAGGCTGCAGAACTCTCTAGTCTACACTGCTGACATCTTTACTGTGGCTTTCCTCTCTCATGCCATCACCCCTCACCCTGTTCACTTTCTTTTCTAAAAAATTGCTTCAACCAAGATTTCATGACACAATTTTTATATTTAGAGACGGTCTCGTCTACCCATTATCAAGATAAGAAATCATGTGTGGAAGTCACACTGAGGACCCTGGGTCCTTTGTCCTAAGTGTCCATCATCTGTGTCCCCGGCCACTCTATGCATTTCACTAAGGGAGAAATTAAAGGACAGTCTGCAGGTTCTGTAAGTGTCTCTAATTTAATTCAAAACTCTCTCATGCTGCTATCTCCATTACGTTGCCTTTCTTCATGGAAGAAGATTTGGAGTTCTGAGAGTTCTGTTAGTCAGAGTAAGGACCCTCTCATGGTTTTCTGCGATCCTCCCTGCCCAGTCCACACACATGCTCACTGTCCCAGCCTTAGCGACACACAAGAACCTTTGAGTGTTAGCTTTTGATGAGTTAGATCTTCCTTGAGGAGAAAAAAATTGAGAATCTAAGTATAAACTAGTTCCCAGCACGGAGTGAGGGAGAGATTCCAAACTTTTCCGTGAGACAATGCCATCTCCTCTCTGCCCTCGAGTTCATGTTGTGAATATTCCTCGAATTCTTCTTAATAAAAGACTTCAGCGGAGCTAACTCGGTTCCATCAGTCCCATTTTCATATGTTGTTTGGGTCAAGTTTAAGCTGTTTTGGCTTTGGGCTGGAGTTCTAATGCCAACTCTGCACTTACCGCGTGCAAATTTTAGTCGTAAACTGTGTTGCCACGGGCATATCACTCACCCCTCCCACCTTGAACCACCCTCCACCCTCATCTGTCTCTGCACACACTCTTTTTAAAAAAGTTTAACATTACCAGTTTGGCAGAAGGCAGTGTAAATGTTATGTCAGCCTTAAGAAATGATTTAATCCTGATAGATGAGTTGTCAGGGCAGTGTGACACTAAGTGACAGATGTTAAATGGCACCGCTGTTCCCAGAGATGCATAAACAAGACTGTGTGGTTCCAGGCAGGTGAAAACTTCTCAGTAACAGACAAAGATTGGGTTTTCTTTTCTATCTTCCGTGGGAATATGCCATGTCCTCTCTGGAGGAGTCAGAGTGTGCCATTGGTCTGCTCTGGCCTGGGTTGGAGATGGGTGGTAAATGCTTCCAGGTTATCAGGTTAGTGAAAGCGCCTACCCATTTGGATCCCTTAAACTTTCAGTAAGGGAGGTGGGTTTTTCTGGATTTTGCAGGGCATTTGATGATGTCAGAAATTCCAAGATGAGGAGGTTTGGGAAGAAAGTAGGAAAAGTTGAACATCTGATCTCCGTAAAAAGAAAGAGCAAGGCAAAAGCAAACCCCAAAAAGAAAACCTACCCCCGACTCCTGACTTCCTGGAAGTTGCTTCCAGGCATCTTTCTGTTGTCCTGGCACTGGTGAGGCTGAGAGGCTGAGTAAATAAACCAATTGAAAAGAGGCTAAACAAGTGTTTATGACCTTGGACATTAGTATATTAAAAAAATACTGCTGTCTGAGCCCTCCTTCCTGGGATCATAGTAGCTGGGTGGTGTTCAGGCCTTTGAATGCCTTTCTGAAGATTCCCAGGAAATTGTTGCATATGGTCAATACTGATAACCCCTGGGCTTGGACATCCTGCAGATCAACTGAGAATGTGGACCTAACTGCACTTGGAGTCTAAATACTGCTGGACTTCCACCATTAAGAGAACAAGTTCAGTGTTTATTTTCTCAGGCACCACCATGGGTTGCTAGGCTTAAGAAAAAAAAGGAAAAAATCCTACAAGTGTCCCATAGTCACTCCAGTGAGAAAATGAGGCTCTTCTCTGCACATCACCCTTTGCTTTTCATCCCATAACCCACCCCCAACGTGGGTTTGCCCTTTCCTTGCCATCCTATAACCCAGTCCCAACATGGGCCCCTCCCAGGACTGAACTGGTTGGAAACAGGTGGAAACTGCCCAATTATAAGCGACACCCAGGGATCTGTCCTAAATCTACCCTAAACCTGGTATCAGACCCAAGCAAGCTCAGAAAATATGGCTTCCTCTGGAGCCTTTGCAGAGGTGAAGGGAGAACACACTAGAGAAATGGAGATTTTTTTTCCTATCCCTTGTAGACTTTAGATAACCCTTTTCTTGGGATAGTCTGTCTGGGAAAGTTTGCACGAAGGCCAAGTCTAGGCTAAACTAGGAGCTCTTCGTGTCCCAGGGCTATCGTTCTTGTTCTTTTCCTTGAGCAGTAAATAATTCTTGGCTTTGAAAAACATGCCCTGGTGACAGGTTGATGGTGGCCACGGGAGGAGCAGAGTCTGGATGTCTGAGTGTAGAGCTCAGAGCACCAAGCCTAGTCTCACTCTCTCGACACAGAGACCCTCATTGTGAAAAATATTGGTGCCTGTGGTACTGAGAGTGACCAAGGAAAGGACCTTTTGGATTTGTGTGCTCCATCGAGTCCCTCTGGGCAGGATGGGTGCACCTACCACCAGCTGCTGGGAATATTCATGCAATGACTCATAGCCAGGTCCCTTCATGGCCATCACTTTGCCATGATGGAATTGCAATGACCAAGGTTACCTCCACCTTCTGGAGGTAGCTGATGCTGGGATACGAGGCTGAGCCTACTTTCCTCAAACTGGGACCGAGTGGCCTTGGAGCTTCTTAAAGTATTGGGCAAGGCCTCTGTTACAGCTGTGTTGTGGGTCAGCTCCTCCTTCTCCACTCTGTCTTCCTCACTTGAACATGTATCTCCTGACTACAGTCTCAACAAAGCTTCTGCATACAACTCCACATCACAGGACCTATTTCTAGGGTACCTAACCTAAGTGACTTCCTCTTCATGGCCACCGCTCCCTTTGAGGTCAGCTTCGAGATGCATGATAATAATGTCACCCTAGAAAAATGAGTTGCTATGTGGTTAGAAAGAAAACATTTTGTTAGGTGTAAGTCTCTGACGTTCATTTCCCCTTCTGGCTGCCACCATCTTCCTAAGGCGACCTGGAGAGGACCATCGTAGCACCCAGGACAAAGCTATAGTGGCTCTAGAAACTTACATGGGAAAGTAACTTGAGAGAAGATTGCGGAGGAATTCCAAACACCACGAACACGTGGCAGGCTAAGGGGAGTTACTGGAAGAAGATGAGTGTGAGATTAGCAGAGCTATTGAGGGGGAGTTGGAAAAAGCACAAAAAGAGAATGACTTTCTTAAGAGATGAGAGATTTTTAGTTAATTCCCTGGATTAGTTACTTTTAAACAGTTTACAAAAAAAAAATCTACATCTGTTAATTTACTGCAAGAGCCTTTGTAATTTGAGAGTTCCAGGGCAGGGGAGGATGGGTACAGATTTGTGCAAAGAGTTAAATCTCACGATGTGAGCATGCTTGGAGAAGTTCCACCTGTGTGTACAATGTGCTTAAAGGATTAGAGCAAACTTTGAAATTATGATATGTTTTATCTACAGTAAGCACCTTACTTTTTAAGCTTCTATTTCCTTGAAGGAGGGAGGAGAAGGCCATCAATTCTCTCAGAAATCAGGTGCATGAAACACTCTGCTTGTGGGATTTAATGAAGGCTTAAGTGCAGGGGGATGAGGATGTGTTGTTTATATATTTTAACATATTAATAAAATCTATTTTCCACACTTGTGATTCCAATTCAGAGATGTCATTTGCAAAATCTGTTGCTCTGGATGAAGGTAACATTTTGAGGGAGATGCAGGAGCCAGAGGGTGGGGGGAAGTTGTAGCCCAAGGGGCTAGTGGGACAGGAAAGGGAATTTTTAAAGAAGTATTGCTGTGGTCCCCGTATTCCCTTCAAGAAATATAAACAAAGCCAGGCGTGCTGGCTCACGCCTGTAATCCCAGCACTTTGGGAGACTAAGGCAGGAGGATGGCTTGAGGCCAGGAGTTTGAGCCTAGCTTGAGCAACATAGTGAGACTCCTTCTCTACCCCTAAATAAAGAAAAATAAATAAATAAATAAAATTAGCCAGGCATGTAGTCCCAGCTGCCCGGGAGGCTGAGGTGGGAGGATTACTTGAGTTTGAGGTTCCTGGGAGCTGTGGTATCACCACTGCATTCCAGTCTGGGTGACAGAGCAAGATGGTCTCAAGAAAGAAAGAAAAGAAAACATATCCCTGGGGTGGAGCAGGCGATGGTTAAACTGGAGACACAAGAAAAGTCTTTTCCTACAACGTGGATACACCCTGGAGGTCACTCTCCCTGGGCTCTGTCCAGGTGGCATAGGGGAGCATAGGACTTTGCCCCATGATGTACAGTCCCTTACTACGACGTTGGAGATGAAGCTGGGCCTGAGTCTGCACCTGCATATTCCTACGACTTTCCAGAGTCTTGTAGACAATGACTGGGGAGACCAACCATACAGGAAACAGCCTTTTAGAGCACCCAAGCTTAATCTTAACTCATCTTCAGTTTATTAATTGATTGTTAATAATCAATTAATTGATTGATTAATTAATTGATCAAATTGATTATTAATTTATATATATATATATAAAAGAAAAGTCTTTTCCCCTCTCCATGTTTTACCGGGAATGGAGGACACAGTCATTGGCTGCTGGCAAAGCTGCAGCTGTTGGTTTTCTGGTCACCATAGGTTTTTCAGATGGATTGAGGGGGAGGGACGTGGTAGCCAGAAATAGGTAAGCGTAAATAGCTACAGTTTTTAGGAAGCTGAACATCACACACAGATAGGCCTAATAAAGACATAGATACTTTATTTTAAAAACACCCATATGTTGCAAAAATACATAGAAAAATAAAGTTTGGTGGGGGTACTTTTCCAAACTTCAAGTCACAGACTTCTTGTGTTACAGATCCAAGCAGGGTTTGTTATACGTGGAGAGCCCACACTAATTTATTAAACAGGGGAGAAACAGGGTGTCTGGGTGAAATGGTTCAGAGCACTGCCCAGTTCACCTGGCAGATGCTAATTCTCCAAATGTTTCTTGATACGGGTTCAGATAGAGGCTGATGACTGTTCCAATGGGAAAAAAGCATATGGATTCACAGCCAAACAATTTTTAAAAATACCTCTTTTTTTTTTTTTTGCAACGCAGTCTATATCACAGTGAAATGTTTAATCCTTGCAGAATTGCAGGTTGAAGGAATTAAATTCAGAGGTGGAGAGAGAAAAAGTACTGAGTAGAGATTGAACACTAAACACTAATTTTCAAAGAGGTGTGGAAAAGAAGAAAGCAAATTAGAACGCTCTGCCTTTTGTGGTCCTGTGGTGGGTGTCAGCAGCACAGCACGTGGTATTTAACAATATTTCACTGTGGAGCCCAAATCTTAGAAAAATGGGGTGAAAATGGCCAATTTTGTATCTATTTACTTTGGCTGTTTTGCCACCCCAATAGTAAATTGACTCTTTTAATAGGAGAAAGTTGAAAAGTTGATCACCAGACAGAATTAGTGGGACCAAGAGAAATTCCAGACCTTGGGCTATCGCACAAGAACTATTTTTTGTTATTATCCTCCCTTTGTCAGGTCACCTGAGATAATAGGATGGAGATGGAGGGACCGTCAGATTTCTCCTTTGCTCTCTGCTCATCCTCTTTGAGCTCATTCCAGTTGACCCATTTCTGGGGACTCCTGATGGGCATTAAACACAATTCCTGAAACATTTGGATAGTTTCTTACTTTATTTTCTGATAGAAGCCACAGTGTTGTGTTTTGAAAATGGTTGCCTTTTCCTTAGTCTTTCTGCAAAGTGCTGTCAGCGTACCCTTTGCTTAGTCAGTGGACTGTGCTCCCTAAGGCCTAGGCTGCCTTCCTTTCTATACCCTGCCCCAAGCTCTCTCTTTCCACTAGGACAGCTCACTGATGCTGGCCCTTATTTTATAGTGCCTTCTTCCTTCTCTGTGAAAACCCAATACCTCTTACCTCCTCTGTCTGGCTGCAAAGATTCTCAAGGGTTGTCAGACTTTGAATGTAACAACAGAGCCACCAGAAAGACCAATAAAAGCAGTGGTGACCTCCTTGAGCTTGGCAGGTCTTTAAATAGGATTTGAGATTTAATGCCATATATTTTTAAAGGAAAGAAATAGAGTTGCTAGTTTGAGAAATGTCTTTTAGCCAGTTCAGAAACTGCCCCTTGCTTTTTTTTTTTTTAAACCTAGGACAGATAAAACTTTGGAAGGAAGAAAAGGGGGGACTTCCTTATTTAGATCTCAGGCTAAAAAAGGAAGGCAAATTTTAGGTATGGCCAGACTAAAATTCAGGACTGAAATAAAGCCCTTTAGAGGCTGATTGCTGTAGGAAAACAAACAAACAAATAAAAAATAAGAAAAGAAGGAGGGAAGGAAGGACCATATTATAAAGAATTATGTCATCTGTCATGATATAGTATGAATTATAGCCTGAAAACTCCAGGAAACTTTTAATTCTAAATTCTCTAGTCCAGGACAAAACAGTTCAGAAGCGGCCAGTCCACCTTTCGCTAATAAAAAGTGCCATGGCCCCAGCAGCAGAGTAGAGACTGTCCTTAGGCCCCTGTCTTGGACATGTGGAGATTCTTCCGGCCCGGCCCCACCCCTTGCAGTAGAGTTCTGTTTATACAGCTTGTCTTAAAACCACAGTGAGTGCATCTTGTTCTGTTTGGGCCACCCTGTAAATACTTAAATTGGCATGGTATTTTAAAAGGAATACTAGGAAGCTGATATTTTCAGCTCCTCCCACCCCTCCGCATGTCCCATGCCAATGTGTGCTGAGCATGAGGGCTTTCTCTTTGAGACCCTGTTTTCTCTTAATTTTACAGGGACAGAGAGAAACCTTGGTCATATTCCAAGGCCAACAAAAACTTAAGTTTAATTCAGTGGGTGACACCCTCGTTTTGGCTGTCCTCTGTACTTTTAGGTTTGCTCTTTCAGAGTTGCTGCTCGGCTGCACAAGAGGATGGAGTTGTAGACACAGGAACCTCAGGTGCTCATTCAAAATCATACAAAGTGCTGGAGACAGCAGTTAATTCCCCCCCTTCAAACAGGTAGCTAAAAGCAAAAATGACGTACAGTGTGCACTGGGGGAACTATTTAGATATTAAAGCATTCACTGTCCCAGATCTGTCAGTGGCCCACCAGAGAAGATGCTGGGATTTCCAGGCCAGCCTCCAACGCTTTGGTCTGTGCACCTCTTGCTCCTGGTTGCTTCCTGACCTTGGCCCCTTTTGCTTTCCGGAGAGACACTCTGGGGAAGGCAATTTTTGATCATACCTGGTTGTCATCTGAGCTGGCATTACCAGAAAGCCGGGCTCCAGCTGCCCACGCAGTAAAGGTAGGGGTAATAGGGGTAGCTGTTATACACGGAGACCAGGGAGGCTGGAGAGAAGCCCTCCTCTTTCAGGGCAGGCAAGGAGGGGTGCTTCTCCAAGTCTCCCAGGTCGGAGGTCAGCTGCTTCCGCTTAGTCTTATAGCGTCTGTTTTGGAACCATATTTTCACTTGGGTCTCAGTGAGCTTGAGGTTCTTGGCTAGGTGAGCCCTTTCGGGGGCTGACAGGTACTTCTGATGGCTGAACTTCCTCTCTAACTCGATGACCTGGGTGTGGGAGAAGGCGGCTCGCGAGCGCTTCTGCGGCTGCTTGGAGGTCTGGGGAAGGCTTGGCGCATCTTCACAGTCCAGCAGATAAGTCCCAAAGTGCCCATCTGGAAAGGAGAGGGAAGAAGGAGAGATGGGAAGGAAAAAGTTACATGTTAGCGGGAAAGAGAACAGAATTCAATCCACCCTTATCTCTTCAGAGAGTGAACAAACAGCCCACTGTCATCTTGGATACGTTTCACTTTTTTCACATGACTTGAGGGACGCTCTGCAGTGAGCGAGGAGTAAGTGTGTACGTTATGTTTTCATTTTCTAATAATCAGCAAGAGCCCGGCGTTAGAGAGGCGTTAAGTGGTTGAGCTTTCTGCCGTATTACCGAGTAGAAGGAAATGGAATTGTGGATGTGTGTTCTGGGGAGAGGTGGGAGAAGGGCGGCAGGAAAGACAGACACTGACAATCAAATTCCAGAGAAAGCGGGACGAAAGGCATCCAGGTAGGCAAGAGAGGGCTTGTGCGCAGGAGAGGCAAACGCAACCCCATTTGGGGGCTTTAATCCCCCTTTCTCCGAAGGAGCCCTTAGGTTGCCTCCTAAGAAGTGATGGGAAAGAAAATACATCTTCTGTGAATGTTGCGACGGTTGTGTTATCTCCAAAACACCGAAGGGAACGCCCAGATTTACTGTTTGCCCCGGGGATTGGGAAGGAAAGGGAGTCTTTGCAGGTTCAGTATCAATGAGTTATCATCAGCTCAGGTCACCGCCGACGGGTGACGTGGGCTGGTGTCCCCCTGGGTGGCGCGGGTCGGGGTGTTCAGCTGGAAGGACAGAGCGCCCGGCCTGCGCGCTGGCGTTAGAGCCGAGCAGAGCGGAGAGCACCGAGCCGGGCGAGTCACGCGGGTGTCAAAATCCTGCGTCGCCCTGACGCTGCGGCTCGGGGTGAATCTCTGAGGCGCGCGGGTGGCTGCGGAGGCGGGGAGGTCTGTCCTCCTGTCGCCGCCGGACCTCGCGTCCCTGCATCCCGGCTCCGGGAGGTCCGCTGGGGCCTGTCCTCGAGCCGACGTCGCCCTGGGACCCAGCCACCCGTCCCGCGGGACCTGCCTGGCCCGGCCCGGCCTCCCCGGCTCACCTGGCTCGATCTCGGCCGGTGTGTCGGCCTCCCCGGGACCGGCGTGGGGCCAGGAGGTCGGCTCGTCCCTCGGCTTCCTAGCGCCGCCGCCTCTTCCCCCCGGCTCCAGCGCAGGGTCGCGCCTCGGATCCGGCTGGTGCGGGGGTCGCGGGCTGCCTGGGTGGTCGCCGCGCCGCTCGGCGCCGTCCCGCAGGATGTCCTGGATGAGGAAGGAGGTGAGCGGCTTGGATTGGGTCGGCGGAGCGGCCCCGGGGCTGCGAGCGGCCGCCTCCGCCTCCCCCGGCCACAGCTCGGAAGCCCTGAGCATCCCGGCGGCTGGGCTCGGGCAGCTCGGGTCCCGGGTGGCTCTGGCGGCGGCTGCTCCCGCCCGGCCCGCACCACTTTCACTTTCCACCGCCCGGCGCCGCTTATAGCCCCGGGGGAGCGCGCCGCGCCGCCTTCCCATTGGCCGCGGGGACCCGGCCGGCGCCGCGGATTGGCTGCCTCGCGCTCCAGGTGACCCGGCGGAAAAGGCGAGTCCTTGGCACTGTCCGCGCCCCTCTTCCCGGGAGGATTCCTTCCCCAATTCCCTCTTCTCCTCTGGCTCGCCTCCCTCCTTCCTATGCTCACCTCCCTCCTCCTTTCCCAGGTCGGGAGCGGAAACCAAAACGAATCACCTCCGCCCCGACCTACCCGCGATAGAAGATGAGACCCTTCTCTGGAACAAGGACGCCCAAGAGAAATACACTCGCCTTTGCTCACAGACAGATAAACCGGTCAACCCCTGGCACCACAGCTTATAGATGAGGATTCTGGGTGCCCGGGATGAGGGGAGATTGGTGGCAAAGGCAGAAATACTAAATTTAAGACTCTCAGAAACATGACAAGTAGGTTTAGTGCCTGCCACCCAGGCTGGCTGCTTTGCTGGACGTTACTGGGAGCAGGAGCAATGAAAGTATTGATTTAATGTAAAATTACTGGTTAAACATCGCACTGGATTGTATACGAGAATATGTTTAGGGAATAAACACTGGTGTATGTAGGCACATGATGTGCGTAACTTCAGAGGTTGCAGAAACAATGAGTTTCTGTGGGACAGCCAGGTCCCACAACATGAGTGAACCGGTTGAATGTTAACATCTGGCAATCTGGAAACAATGTGTGCTGATGTTCTTTTGAACTAGTTTTATGCAAATTTTGTGTCCTTTCTGGCCTAAGACGCCTTCCATTAAGTCTCATTGGAAACAGTGGTATGTTGTGCGTCTGGGGAGGAGGGAAAGTTGATAGGTTATTGTAGAAAAACTACTGCCCAAGAAAACCACCTGTGTGAGGGGAAAAACTGGTTTTCTTCTTTCATCTTTCCTAGATCTCTTCATTAAAGCAAACAAATAAAACCTTTCAAATGCTTTCTTTTGAAATAGTTATACATTCATAGGAAGTTGCAAAAATAATACCTCTGGTGTCCCCCAATGACATGTTATTTAACTGTAGGGCAATATTAAAAAAAAAAGAAAATGAACATCAGTATGTTACTGTTAACTAGACTACAGACCTCATTTTGTTTTCCTCACTTTAGAATTTGTATTCATTTATGTGTGTCTAGCTCCATGCAATTTTATCACGTAGGTATATAATATGCATGCATACACAATCAAGACACAGAGCTGCTTCATCACCACAGAAGGGCTCCTGGGTGCCACATGTGTATTTGCACACCTAGGACCCTTCACTCTGTTACTGACCTCTGGTGAACTCTAGTCTTGTCTCCATTTCTAAAATTTTATCCTTTAGAGCAGCGGTTCTCAACCTGTGGGTCACGACCCACAGGAACTGTATTAAAGAGCTGCAGCATTAGGAAGGTTGAGAACCACTGATTTATAGAATGTTATATAAATAGAATCGTACATTGTACACTTTAGAGATTGGCTTTTTATTTATTTTTATTAAATATAATGTTCCTGAAGTCCACTCAGATTGTTGCCTGTATTAATAGTTTATACTTTCTATTGCTAAATTTTATCCCATTATATGGATCTACCAGATTTTGTTCAATCCCTCTCTCCTTGAGGAACATTGGAATTTTTTTGCTATTATGCGTGCAAGGGTTGTGAACATTCGTGTGTAAGTTTTTGTGTGCACACGAGCTTCCATTTCTCTGGAATAAATGTCCAGGAGGGCAATTGCTGGGTCACAGGGTAAGCACATTAGTGTTATGAGAAACTGCCAAATTATTTTCCAGAGTGATTGCACCATTTTGCATCTCCACAAGCAATCGTTTGAGAGTTCCAGTTTCTCCACATCCTTGCCAGCATTTGATGTTACCACTATATTTATTGTAGCCGTTTAATAGGTACACCGTGCTATTTTATTGTGGTGTTAATTTGCATTTCACAAATGGCTAACAATGTTGAACATCTTGTCATGTACTTATTTTTTATCCATAGTTCTTCTTTGGTGAAATATCTATTCAGGCCTTTTGCCTACCTTGTAATTGAATTTTCTGGTTTTTTTACCGTTGAGTTGTGATAGTTCTTTATGTGTTCAGTCTATAAACTTTTGTGGGATAGGCAGCTTGGAAATACCTTCTCCCAGTCCGTAGCTTGTGTTTCCATCCTTTTAATAGCATAAAAGTTTTAAATTTTGGTGAAGTCCAGTTTACTAATCTTTATAGGTTGTGGTTTTGGTGTTTTGCCTAAGAACTCTTTGCCTAGCCTTGTACTGAAGATGCCCTTGTATGCTGCCTTCTAAAGTTTTTATACTTTACCCTTAAATCCATGATTCAGTATGAATTAATTTTTGTATATGGTGTAAGGTTTGGGTAAAATTTATAGTGGAGTGGCATTTCAAAGCAGTGGGGAAAATGTGAATTATTTAATAACTGATGTGCCATTTGGAAAATATAAAGTTCTGTTCTTATAACAAAATAAATCCCAGATGGCTCAAAGATGTGAAGCACAAACAGACACCAGGGGAAAAACGTTTAACCAGACTTATCATTAAAGAAATGCAAATCAGGGGGGATGCCTGTGACTCAAGGAGTGGGGCATCAGCCCCATAAACCGGGGGTGGCAGGTTCAAACCTGGCCCCAGCCAAAACTGCAAATAAATAAATAAATAAAATAAACATCATAAATTTTTGCATTAGTTGTTGCTTTGTCAGAATGAAACAAAAATAATACAGCTACTCCTATTGAAAAAACACTTAAAGAAATGCAAATCAAAGAGGGACTTATCTAACCAGTGCAATCAGTGTAGCCTAATTCTTTGTACCCTTAATGAATCCCAAATAATAACAAAATTAAAAAAAAAGCAATGTAAATCAAAATCAAATTGAGATGCCCCTTTTCGACCTGTCAGATTGGCAAAGGTGGATAGTGTTCAGTGTTGGTGGGAGTGTCGGGGACAGCTGTTCTCTTACTAAGGGAGTCAGTTCTGTATTGTCGTAATGACATTTCTCAGAATGTGTCCCTGTTGTTAAGCAACCCATGACTGTTCACACGGCGATTTGGCAATATCTGTCAAAATTAACACTGAGCCTATCCTTTGACACAGCTATTCCATGTTGAAAGATTTGCCCTAGAAATACACAGTGCTCTGAAGTGGGGACATATCTTCAACTTGGTCAGCCTGGCCTAAATTGCAAAATGTATTATAGAATGAACCCACTGTGTAAAAAAAAAAAAGAAAGCAAGCCACACATTATCTACACAATACATTTGAACACTTTAGCATACAGAATATATCTGGGAGAATATATACATATATAGTAGGGTCTCTATAAGTGGACCACCCAAAGGACTATAGCAACCTGGTCAACATACAGAGGTGGTCAACATAAGGCACTAGGTCTACTGCACTGACACACACATGTGGTGCATGTCCAGTCTATGAAAATTAGGTCAACGTAAGGTGTTCGATGTAGGGAGGTGGTCAGCTATGGAGGTTCTACTGCATTTTTTTCTTTATTCAATAGAGCCATTATCTCCGCTCAGTGAGAGGGAGACAGCAGATTGGGAGAAGGAAAGGAGGAGAGGAGAACAGGGTGAATTTTCTTGTACTCATTTATAAATTAAAAAAATTAAAAATCGAGAGCTGGAGCTGAGAATGGCCTTCTGTCCTCCACCATGACCTTGGCCTCAGACCTCCCTGCAGAATGAGAACACAGCCCAGGGCACTCTGCCTCACTGGCTTCACCTTTCCTCCCTTTGTGCTCTATATGTGGGCTATGTGGATGGGTCTTCTTTATTGGGCTGTGAGCTCCCTAAGCAGGGACTGTGTCCCCCTTATATTTGTGTGTGGCCTAGTTCTTGGTGGACATAACATGTTCAATAAATGTTTGCTAGCTGACTGTCCTGCTTCAGTGACTATGAGACATCTCATGGCTGGCAGAATTATCCAGAAAGGGTCAAGGAGTCCCAAGGAAAATCGCAGTAGAAAGTTTGTCCTCTTCCCCTTGCTGCATTCATGCAGCTTAAACTAGGCGAAAATGTGCCAGGGCGACCAGGGAGGCACAAAGAGGCTGTGGTAGGCAGAATAATGCTCCCAACCCCCCGTGACTGCCACTTTCTAGTCCCCAGATTCTGTGAATGTGCTATCCCCATGGCAAGGGAAAGTTAAGCTTGCAGATGGAATGAAAGGTACTGGTCAGCTGACCTTCAGATAGGAAGGTTGTTCTGGATTATCCAGGTGAGGCCGATAGAGTCAGAGAGTCCTTATTATGTAGAAGAAGGAGGCAGGAGATTCATAGAAGGAAATGTGACCCCGAATTACAGTCAGAGTGACGAGAGCCATTGCTGGCTCTGAGGATGGAGCAGAAACACAGGCCATGGAGTGTGGCAGCCTCTAGAAACAGGAAAAGAAACCAGTTGCCTCCTAGGACCTTAGGGAGGAGCACAGCCCTGCCAATACCTTGATCTGAGCCCAGTAAAACAGTTTGGGCTTCTGATCTCCAGAACTGTAAGATAATGAATCGTGTTGTTTTAAGCCACTAACTTTGTGCTAATTTGTCACAGCAGCAGTAAGGCAGTAATAGCTGGGTGTGGTGGCACACTCCTGTAGTCCCAGCTACTCAGGAGGCTGAGTTGAGAAGATCCCTTGAGTCCAGGAGTCGAGGCTGCAGTGAGCTGTGATGATGCCTCTGCACTCCAGCCTGGATGACAGAAATCCTGTCTCTAGAGCAGTGGTTCTCGACCTTCCTAATGCCTTCTAATGCCATGACCCTTTAATGTAGTTCCTCATGTTGTGGTGACCCCCAACCATAAAATTACTTTCGTTGCTACTTCATAACTGTAATTATGCTGCTGTTATGAATCGTAATGTAAATATCTG